ACTATTAGCGAAAGTGGGCGGAGTCGACTGTTCGTAGCGATGGTGGCGCCCCCTCGCAGTTGTTTCAACTCGTCTTGAAATGCGTCGTGTTGTATTACGCGAACTATTATTTTCTCTGCGCGTTCGATGTATCTTCCCCTTAGGCGTGGATCGCGGTCGATTTTCTTCTCTGTGGTGAGCAGCCGTCTGTACGCATTTTCATAATTGTTGGGCATCTTGATGTCCTCTTTCTTCCAGAGTAGCGCGGTTTCAAATTTTCCATCTTCTTTTCTGTGGGTGTGTTCTTCTAGCATCTTGATGGCTTTCTCCTCTGGATCGGAATGCGGTTTCTTCTTTTCGATGTCGATCGATTCCAATGCGAAGTGATGACGAAGTAGTTCATCCATTTTCGAATCTTCTGTTTCTTCGGTGAGGTGGTTCACGAAATGAACCCGGTGACCGATGGTGCGCGAGTCTGTGCCGTGGAGTACCCATCCCAGAGCCGTCTTCGATGCCACTAGCTGTCTTCTATTCCCCCGGCGGACTTCGCTGGCCAAGAGTAGGTGCCAGTTGTCTTGCCCGATGAGGATGGTCGGCCGGGCGTCTTCATAGGTGACGTGCTTCTCGATTCCCCGCAGGTGCTTGCAGCCCCATAAGTGTCTTTCTTCTATGGTTTGCGGTGAAATCTTCATTTGGTCGATGGTGCGTGCTTGCACCTTGAAGCCTCTGTTCTGTCCCTCGATCTTGAAGGTGACCCGGCGCGACTGTGTCTCTGGCAGCTTGGCGTCGATCGTTTCTATCTTCAGTCGCTCGGTAGGTCCCTCGGCTCCTATCTTCTCGGCGGCCCTCTCTTCTATAAGTGTGACTGTAGAGCCGTCGTCCAGTAGCGCGTACGTATCAAAATGTCCGCTCGGTCCCGTAATGCGAACCGGAATTATCTTCAAGTACGCGTCTCGCTTGCGGCTGCTGTGTGTGCTGGCCACCCTCTCGGTTTCTGTGTTGCTCGTGGCTGGTTCTTCCTCACGTTGCGACTTCGGTTTGTAGTGAAGAAGTGGGTGGTGTGAGCGCTCGCAGCCGTCCCTCTCGCACGCTCGCGTCTTGCATCTGTGCATCTTGCTTCTGTATTGTAAGCAACGGAAACAAAGGTTGCTTTTCTTCGCTATTTCCCATTTTCTATCTTGATCGGCGGTCTTGAACGTAAAGCAGGTGTCCGTCGAATGTCCGGATTTCTTGCATACCGGACATGGGAATCGATCTTCAGGCGCTCTTCTATTATGTGTCGCCTCGATGTTATGTGTTCGAAATTTTCTTGTTGTGGAGTTTTCTTCATTTCCAATGTACTCCGGTGGGGCGTATCTTGCGTTATTCTCTGCCTCGACTTCGATGAACTCGGCGAAAATCAATAGTTCCGGATCCGTCTTCATTTTTTCTTGCATTCGGTGATTGTTGACGTAATCGTTCCATCTGAAGCGGATAGTCGACGGCAGCTTTTCTATAATTGTCTTCATGATGTCCGGCGCACGTAGGTACTCGTTTTGCCCCAGTACTTGTAGTGCGACGACGCTATTCTTGATTTTGTTTGCAAAAATCACGATGTCCCTCGGCGAATCGGTGAGTCGGGGTAAATGGCGCAGCTTTTCTATTTCGGTTGCGGCGATGTTGTCCGGGCGGCCGAATCTGTGCTCCAATTGCTTCATAATGTCGCCCGGCGTAGTGTTGCTTATTAGCATGCTGCCCACGGCTTCTCTTGCCTTCCCCTTGAGGGCTCTTCTTAATCTTGATGAGTTTTCCGCCGACGATAGGTAGGTTGCGGATTCTAGGTACGCCGCCCTGAAGGTGAGCCATTCTGTGTGCGCGCCGCTGAAGGGTGGCAGCTCTCCGACGTAGCGTGGACCCGGTGCAGGCGGTACGGCGGCACGGACGGCGGCGTTGATTGCGACGGCCAGCTCGGAGACGTTCATTCTGTCTTGCTGGACCGGCGGTGGCGGTGGCGGCAACGTAGGGGTGACTTGTTCTTGAGCTTCATCAATACGGGACGGCGGACTCTTCTTAATGCATGGCTTCAGCGCCCCTGGGACTGGATCTTCGGCAAGTGGTGCGACGGACCCACCAATCTGTACGGTGTCCTCGACGGTCGGTCTTCTATACGGTTCGGTGGTGCCGCCGTCGGGGGTGGTGTCCTTTGTCGCTGTGTCCAGCCAGGTGATGACGCGTTCTTCATTCTCGGTGCCATGTGTGCTATCGGTTTCTCTTCTATCTTCTATTTGCGGGTCCTCTTGGTCCTCATCTTCGCTATCTTGCTCTTCCATTCGTATCTTCGCCCTTATAGTCTTCTCTAATTCTTCATATAACGCCGCCAGGCGCTTCTTCTTTGCTGCTCTTCGTGCAGCTATCTTCGATTCTGTTCGGTGTGATGTCATTGCAGCTGATGGCGACTTCGGTGGTTGGTCGTGGCGCAGCGGGTATGGTGGCCGCGTCACGGTGTCGCTCCCTTCCGATGGCGCTCTTGACGGGGGTTGGACAGGATTCTCTCCTGCGGCGGTTCGCTCTGGCTCTTCGATGCTTCTCTCGATGCGCTCCTCTTCGGCCTGGTCCATTTTGTCAGCTTGAGATCTTGTTCGTGGCATTTTTCTTTCTTCAATCTTCTATATTTTCTGTCTTCAATCTTCTATAATTGACCACGACGATCTTCTTTCTTCAATCTTCTATAATTTTTCTTCAATCTTCTATAATTTTTCTTCAATTCTTCCTCGGCGCTGTAGATCCGGCTCGATGCGACCAAAAAATGTACGTGGCACGCCGGGTACAGCTCGAATAGATGGCCGCTGAGAGGAGCTGATGTTGTCCAGAGTGAACCGCTTGATTGTTTCTTCCTGTTCCTTAGGGTAGGAGCGCCTGTCGCTGAATGCACGTCGGAGCATGTTCCGACTCGAATTTTATATGCTAGGACTGAGCTGGCCAGCGATCCATTACCTCACCCACGCTATACTTTATTTTTCATTTTCTCCAAAATTACAATAGTGCGAGCTTAAAACTAATTGTACATACATCGGGCATACATTTAGGCATATTTTTAACACAGTTATGTGTCCGTAAACACGATATTTTAGGTGTGGCGCGCAAAAAATAGGTCTCCGCAATATTTATACTTTCCCCCTCCATAGGGCTTCGCCCTGCCACGGGGCTTCGCTGCCCCACCCGCGCGCTCCGGGCGCGCCGGGTGGGGAGCGCAACATGTCTCAGAAAACGGTTCTATACAAACATGTTTTGTCTCCTACACGGTACATTTTTACACTTATTGATGTGATACCTATTTATTTACGTAGCCCTACGTGTTACCTATCTAATACAACAAGTTTCTTACAAGAATATTAATAAACAACAGCTGTACGGCCCTATAAAGTTTACAAATTAAAAAGTCTCAAAAAACCTACTTATATTCACTTAATGCCTAACTATCATATACCGTTTTATAGAAGAAGTAAAAACACACAAAATGACATCATTATTATAACAATTATACCTATATCCTATTGACTATTCGTAAAAAACTATTCCCAATATTTTCCTTAATTACGCTTAAACTACTAACACGATTCATACAAAACTTCGATATATTATTCCTATGACTACCTACTTTCTAATAAGACATAAGATAAATCAATCAAAACATAAAACATACTATTATCGAAAACTGTCAACTCAGGTAAAATCCTATAAGATGTGAGACAAGGACAACCTATTGTCTCCGTCCCTCCTATAGGTCGGAACTATCAGTATTCTGACTAGTTTCCCCGCGCCACCGCTTGGCGTCGTGGCGATCGTTTAGATAAAGTCTTATAAGATTATTGGAGAGAACGGGGCGGAATATCGCTCTGAACTATCAATTTTACAATGGTTTACTATGGGCAGAGCTATCTATTGTTGCGATATCCGACTCATTCTAATAAGACAACAAGGGAATGATATTTTTAATGCGTATACAACCGATTCATGTGAAATTATAGATACATTTTTATACATTGCTCTCGTATTGTCGTAAGTTCATTTTCTCTCGTTTCGGTCGTCGCGTACAGTATATAAAAAAAGTCAGGCGTAGCGGTCGCGTTGCGGGCGTACTTATATTCACTTAATGCCTAACTATCATATACCGTTTTATAGAAGAAGTAAAAACACACAAAATGACATCATTATTATAACAATTATACCTATATCCTATTGACTATTCGTAAAAAACTATTCCCAATATTTTCCTTAATTACGCTTAAACTACTAACACGATTCATACAAAACTTCGATATATTATTCCTATGACTACCTACTTTCTAATAAGACATAAGATAAATCAATCAAAACATAAAACATACTATTATCGAAAACTGTCAACTCAGGTAAAATCCTATAAGATGTGAGACAAGGACAACCTATTGTCTCCGTCCCTCCTATAGGTCGGAACTATCAGTATTCTGACTAGTTTCCCCGCGCCACCGCTTGGCGTCGTGGCGATCGTTTAGATAAAGTCTTATAAGATTATTGGAGAGAACGGGGCGGAATATCGCTCTGAACTATCAATTTTACAATGGTTTACTATGGGCAGAGCTATCTATTGTTGCGATATCCGACTCATTCTAATAAGACAACAAGGGAATGATATTTTTAATGCGTATACAACCGATTCATGTGAAATTATAGATACATTTTTATACATTGCTCTCGTATTGTCGTAAGTTCATTTTCTCTCGCTTCGGTCGTCGCGTACAGTATATAAAAAAAGTCAGGCGTAGCGGTCGCGTTGCGGGCGTCGACTATAGATGTAAAGGCGGTTGTTATCGTTTTCAGCCAGCCGATAACAATCGCTTTTTTCGCTAATCAGCCATAAACAGCGGTTGTTAACGGTTCAGAAAACACTTAATTATGTTTTTTTATGTTCTAATTGATTAAGTTTACAAAAAAATCTAAAGAGTTCGAAATTTATTGTAAATATCACCATTCGATGAACTATTTTGTACGAAAATACTTACAACTGAATAAACCGCTAGTAGCACGCCTCCGCATCGCAACGCGCCACCCCGCCGTTCTGTGTGAACTTACTCGAAACACTATAAGGAAAACCACGATCACGGCGCACACCTCCGACCCTGCACTGCACCGCCTCACCCTCGCCACGCGCCGCGCACGCCGCCTGTTTGTGTCGCCTATATGACCCATCCTGCTAAGCCGCCGCCTAGCCACCGCTCCGGTTTGTGTATTGTGTTTTAAACTAATTCGAACTATACAAAAAAGCCGCTGTCGCCTCTGCTCCGCCTTCTGAGTGTTTTCACATTATCTCTGAAAAAAGCCCTGAAAATAACATCTTACTTATGCACAGACAAAAATATGGTAAATAATAAAGTAAAACAAAAATGGTTTTCGTAAAACAAAATTCAATATTATTTAATACAAAGAAAAAATGTGGCGAATTCGCCGATATCGAGTTCGAAACCTTGCTGATACGCTCGGCGTAACTCACTTTAATAATAACACAATTTATTGGCCCGCAATAAAAGTAGGTCGTTTTAAAAAAAATATTTTAAAAAGTTTGAGCTATCCTTTTAATTAAATTATGGTTTATTTTACTACACATAGGTATAGAATAGTGTAGCTCGATGGTGCTTAAGCACATTTGGCAGCGATCGTTGATGTTAAGCAACTTTAGCAGAGTTCTGTCATTGGATGGGTGACAAAAATTTACTATATCGAGCTCCACCGTGCTTCGGAAGGTACCAGTCCCGGCTGCATCAACAATCGTTAGTACCCATCAATCCGCATTGGACCCACGTGTAGCCCAATTTCCCTATTCCATCCATAGGGAAGGCTCCTATGCCCCGGGAGTGGGGCATTAATAGGCTGATGATTTTGAATATTTCTTTTATAAATATTATAAACATAATTACGAAAAGCTTATAATGATTTCAGAAGTTATACTGGTATCAGCCCTACAGTAATACCTCTACCGCATACTTAGTGAGTTTACTTTTTAATAATAAAATGCAATACGAGTGGAAGTTCAATAAAATGGCGGCCGCAATTTATGCCCGCATTAGAATGACTAACTGTGGTCAATAGTTGCTCGGACGTATTACTTTTTCCGGTAAACCTTGTTGATTTACCTCATATTGACGAAATCATTCCGTCCTTTAGGCCTTTATAACGAGCTCACTCAACTTTCATAGTTCGAAAAAGTTTGCTTTAGAAATATACATAACTAGTGGCTGTTCGCGACTTCGCCCACGTTCACTTTAGTTTTTTGAGAATCCCACAGGAACCTAAAATTTTTCCGGGATAAAAAGTATCCTTTGTCTCAATCCACTTCATAATCTATATGCTTACCTACCTTATTTCATCCAAACCCGTTCTGTAATTTATGCGTGATAGAGTAACCAACATACAAACTTTCAATAATATAATATTAATATGATTATTATTATAAGCATTACATTGTGTTCGTCCATTTTAAAAAACTTTGAAATTGTGTATATACCTACCTATAACAGTAAATTTGTATGGGCTTACTTGTTGCCTATAATAATTTTAAATTTTTGACAACCTCTAGACCATGTAGCCTCTGAATAAAACTTTTATTAGGTGCTTCATTTTCAGATGTAATTGGAAAGTGGTCGTCTTAAGTTAACAATTTCTATTTTCGTACTTTTCTTACTATGACACAATTTTATTTGAATTCTCATACACAGCACTATTAACCGTCTTTGAGTGCAGTATTCCCAAATAAGTGGATACTTCTAGTGAATTGTGTTGCCCGAATTTCAGTGCAAGCTGGATATATATAAAATAAAGGTACTATTGAAAAGTCAACCAAAATGTTGAATTAAATAGCTACTCAAAATTCTTCTTGACTTTAACATTTAAATTTCATAAACAACAATCCTCCTCGGCTGTAATGAAATATTGTGAAGCATCTAAATTTTAGTATAAAAGTACCATAACTATTTTCGAATTCTCTGGAGGTTTATAAACAGTGGTGTTTCCAAAGAAATATATAAACTTTTTCTATCTCTACCTTGCTGACCTCAACCCAACCCCCTATCTCGTGATGCCCTGGAGCTTTACTAAGCAATGTAAACAGAACACTATCAAAAGGTAGCGTTCTTTTACTGTCATCTTCTATAAAGTGAAAGCTACTTCCCCAGACGTAGGTTTCGTGCGGAAAATTTGCTTACTTTTATGCTTGAACATTATATCTGACGATTGGGTCAAGTTGCGAAGATATAGCTTCTGCAAAAGATACTTTTTTGCCAAGCCATGGCAGTTACAGCACGTGGTCTGGCCTAAACCAAGATTTTAGCTTACTGTGGCGGGTAATATTTTTCGAGCGTATGTACATAAATGTCCATTTCTTTGGCACGCACTGCAGCCACTACGGTCCGAACACACACACATATTTTGACATGCGAGGTGTTATTAGATTAGTAATGATCAGTGATACTAAAATTTCTAAAAAATCTAAATTGCTGATTTTTGCGCCAAAATGATATATCTTGAAAAAATGCATATACACCATCAAGCGGGGTATCAAAGTGAATAGTTTTAAAATGCTTACAATTCAGGAAATAAAAATAAAAATAAAAATACAACTCTTATAAAGTTTAAAGTAATATATTTTAAAATTAAAATATTGCAGGAAACGAAACCTACACACATCAAAAGTGTCTAGGGATCAACATATATTTTTGCAATAACTTTTCTCCTGATTGATATTAATTAAAATTTTCTTTAAGGATTCATCAAATAAAGTGTTTTCGTTTGTCACAGTAACGATAAACCAAGTCACCTTTGCATTAATAAAGAAATTTTCCATTTTCCTAATAAAGGGATTTTTGACATTTGAACCACTAACACAAAAGTTCGAAAAAAAGACTGAAATAACAGTTTTCTCTAAAATTTTATTGGGTAACTTAAACAATTAATAATCCGTATTTCTACCGCGAACACTAACAACACAAGAACATCGGTTTGGCATACTCAAAATGAGTTCATCCAAATCACGCTGTGGAATGGCCGCCCATGTTTGTTGCAACAACAAAAAAAGGTCTTCTTGCGACTGGATACCCTCCATATTCGGCAGAGCTCTTCTCTGTAGCATATCCCATGCATGCTCAATCGGGTTCAAGTCTGGCGACTGAGCAGGCCAGGGCAGGACATTGATGTTAGCTGCGGCGAGAGTGTGTCTTACAACTCTTGCGGTGTGCGGTCGTGCATTATCATGCATTAACTGAAATAAGGGACCGATTTGCACTTGTAGAGGAACGATGACGTCTGATACAATCGTCTCAGCATAAATTTGAGCGTTGAGGTTGCCTCTGATCCAAATCAACTCAGTTCTTCCGCCGATCCAAATACCCGCCCATACCATGATGGTTCCACCACTATAAGGATGGATTTCCTGGCAGGATTTTAATCGCTGTTGGCGTCCAGGGGTTCTCCAGTGTCGTATACGTCTTGTATCCGGTCTCATACCAAAACGAGACTCATCAGAAAAGCACACGAAACGTCATTGTTCTTCTGCCCAATTTCTGTGTTCAAGAGCCCATTGATATCGAATCCTACGATTGTGCATTGCTATAGGTGGTACCCGTAGCGGTCTTCGGGAATGAAGGTTCACTTCATGCAAGCGGTTTCTGACTGTTTGGTCGCTAATTAAGTTCCCTGAAGAGTGATGAAGCCTCACGGCTAACATCATGGCGGTTATTGTTGGAGCTCTTCGAGTTAAGATTTGAATGTATCGGTCTTGTCTCCGTGTGGTGCAGCGATACCGTCCTCCATGGCGCTCAGCCACGGTACCAGTGCTTCGGTATCGTGTCCAAAGTCGACTGATAACACTCTGACTTGTATTCAGAGCTAAAGCCACAGTACGTTGCCGGGAACCAGCTTCTATCATTCCCACGGCTCTGATCATTTCTTCCCTGCTTAAATGACGTCGCCGCTCCATAATAACGTTGGTTTTAATCAGTAGTAGGGAAACAGTAGCACTAATAATGTCTTCAATGCGTTGTATGTTTTTATAGGGAAAATATTGACAGCTGATTTTCATCTTTTACTCGAATTTGATTCACAGTTCCTGATTCAAATTATGAAATGCACCAAAAAGGATCCATATAAATTTATAAAATCATAAATTTATTACAAAGCCACATCTCAATCTCAAGAAATCCGCATAAAAATGCTTGATCCCTAGACACTTTTGATGTGTGTATTTGATAGATACACTTATCTACTCTATCCCTATGTAATTTTTATGTTTGAAACCTATGGGAATGCCGAGAAAATCAGGTTTTTGTATCAGCGAAGCCTGTAAGGTCTTTATGAACAAAGGCGTCTCCCCACATGTATGTATTAGTCAGTAAGTGTCTGACATAACCCTGGTTGCTGCTGTGCTGCCTGCAGCTGGCTGAAGGATAAAATAACATACCTAGAGTTCTAAAGCTATGAAATAAGGAATTCATCTAGTAGCGCTGTGGAGTATTCTACCATAGTAAAGTTTCCAATGTCCTTTAAAAATGAAAAATCCTTACTTAACAGAATTTTGGACAATTAGACTTGTTTTCTTCTTTTAAATTTTTATTTAAACTGAATTTAGATTTTCTTAATTTGCTATTAGTTGTACCTCGTAAAGATTTGGAAACTTTATTCACTCGCCTGCAAAGCGGAGAATACTATGATATTTCTTAAACATGATTTAATTCACTGTATACAGTAAACTTAATGTGACACATCTATTGCACCAATACGGGTGTGACGGCCTCTGGAGAGCGGGCACGCTCGCGACGCAATGGGCAGACACACGACTGTAGACTTTTGTGACTCGTCGGCACTCTTCATAATTTTTTTTCTGTGTTTACTGTGATCCTACTAATTTTATAAATGTGAATGTTTGTATGTTTGTTACTCAATCACACAAAAACTACTGAACGGATTTGGGTGAAATTTTTTACACATACAGTTTATGACCTGGAGACATATGGTACTTTTTCAAAATACTTAAGTTAACGCGGACAAAGTCGCGGCCGGCCGCTAGTTTAATTATAATTTACCGTAACATACTCACATTTTTTTACTACATTTCTGTGTTAGAAAAAATAACTCGAGCATAAGTAATTCTGTTACAAATCACCAGATTTTTATTCGATACTCCGACATAAGAGCGAAAATAACAGATAGATGGAAACAGTAGTTGTTTTTAGAACCATCAGTAGCGATACAGTAAACATGTCTGTCTACGGTTATTAATTACTAATAATTCTAATAAGCAATTTCCCCGTCTTACTGTCGTATGCGGTACGCCAAACAATTAACTGTTGACAAAGTACAGCGGCAGTCGGCAACTATAGCGCAGCGTTCAACGTCAGGATTATGGGCAGAAAGTGGA